ACTTCTCTCTTTGGGCGCATCTAATTTCACACATTGATCGCTTTGCGTTTTCACACTCCTACTTCGGCCGCTTCGTGATTGCACACTTTTCTCACACTTATTACATACATTGAATAAACCATTGTTTTCCACAGTTTGCCTCCCTCTGCACGACCTAACTCCAGGGTGCCCTGGGTTTCTTGTCTTTTGCTAGGGAAAGCGCGGCGTTTCCACACATCAAATCAATGGACGTCCTGGGGTCTCAGGGTTGGGGTTCTTGTGGAAGGTTTCTTGTGGTCGGGCCCCTAGTGCATCATGCTTGAGTACATGCTTTTTAGTATGGTATCCGTTGCAGTCGCTGCGCTCGCCTTTGGCGCTGCTTGGCCTCTCGTGTCGGAGCCCGAGATGCCCGAGGTGTAGTCACAAGTGAGACAGGTGCCTTTGGACGGGTAGTTGCGTGCCCACGCTCTGTCTTGCGAAGGCCGCGTCGGCGAAGCGCCCTGTGATTCCAGGGCGCGTGGGCCCTGGGAAGGCATCTCGAAAACCTGTCGAGAGCTTCGTGGGGTTTCCGAGGCGCCTGTTGGGGGTCTCTGGGTCGGAGACGTCTCTAATAATAATGTTGGCAGGGTGTCGGGAGTGAGCTGGACGGAACGTTCGGGGCGAGGTTTGGGGCTTTCCAGGGGTCTCTTGAAGGCGTCGTGAGAGCGTTTGGAAGACCATTTGGGGACTCCCAAAGGCTCACTGGGGGGCCTCTGGGCGCCTCGTGAAAAGGTGTTTCGGGAGCGTTCTGGGGCCTCCTGGGGGGCCTCCTGGGGCCGCTGCTGACCGTTGTGACAACTCGTTGGTGGTCTCCGTGTCAGGGCGAAGACGACGATGACGACGGCGACGGCGGCGGCGGCGAGGTGGGCGTTGGCCCGAGTCCTCGAGGATACTTCGTGGGGCTTCCCGTGGGCCTCTTGGGGGCCTTTTCGGCCTCTTGGGGCCCCTTTGAGGCCTCTCGGGGTCTCCTGGGACCTTCTTTGGGCCGAGGGATCGACGTATGCGTTCGGGTGTGTCGTCTGGGTGCCCCCTTGGAGCTGCCTCGGCGGCCTCCTGGGCTATCGGGGGGGGGCCGTCCTGGGACCGTCTTGGGTCGCTTTGGGGCCGTCTCGGAAACCTCGTGGGGGCCTCTTGGGGCGACCTGAGGGACATTTTGGGCTGTCTTGGAGCGTCTGGAAGCCGACAACGCGAGAATGCGAAGGTAGTGACACGACCTGAGGAAAGCCGTGCTATTTTGCATAGTGGAGCCCTCTTGGTGTGATGTTGGAGGCTTCTTCGGGTGTCTGGCAGCCTCTGGGACCGTCAGGAGACCATCGGTGGCGTATTCGACTGGTTAGTGGCCGATCTGGGGCCCTCTTGGACCGTCTTGGGGGCTTCTTGGAGCTCTGAGGCCGTCATGGAGCCTTTGTGGGCTCCAGGACGCCCCGGGAGGGGATGGTATTTTGATCTGGGACCCCTCTTGGCACCCCGCTACCCCCTTCGCTACCCCCCTCGCTACCCCCTTCGCTATCCCCCCCAGGCGGGACAGGGATTAAAGGGAAGGGGCTTCTCGTCAATTCAATTACGATTGCGACGCTGCTCAACGGTGGTTCAGTTACGATTGCGATGTTGCTGAATTATATTTTGGCAAACGGAGCGGCGTTTCACACACGCCGACAAGGTCGGCGGATTTTGTCGGTGCGTAGTTCCGCACCGTGGTTAGGTGTTTCGGTAGACCGTAGGGGATCAGCTTTTGGCTGTCGGCGATGAAGGTACCGATTCCGTTTGTCACCATCCGTGCAAGTATATCCAGTTGTTTCTGGTATTATTCGTTGTCGCGTGGCCTCCAGCGACCCAAATTTTCGTCTCTCATACCGACGTTGTTTTGATGAGTTTCCTTCCAGTTGTTCTTTGAATTTCAGACCAATCTTCAGGGCACGGTCATCGTGGCCAAGCGCTACATCGTCGGTTGAAGAAGCGTGCTCGATTCCATGCGCTTCCCGTAACCCCTGCAATATTCCAGCTGACGTTTTGTGCCGTCGTTCTCATACGTCCACTATTACTCAAGACTCTTCTCGACCATAGTGTTTGCGATCGCGTGCTTGTGGCTGGGTGCCCAATCAAGTAATCAATGGCCCCTTCAGCTCTGCATCCGATGCCACATGTCCGATATCTTTTCCATCACCAGCATCATCGTCGTCGTCATCATCATCATCATCATTATCGCCACCAGCATCATCATCATGATCATCATCGTCGTCGTCGTCGTCGTCGTCGTCGTCGCCATCACCATCATCATGCAGCGGGAACCAGCTGATGCCATCCCATCCCCTTGCAATACATCCCAAATGGTTTGCACGCTGGCTTCTTCCACCAGACGGCCAAGATTCCAATAAGTACCTTTCAATTCTGCGTCATCGTATCCACGATGAATGAGATGTGCGGCTATAGATCTGGCGCCTCGTCGCGCTATCCGAACGTCCATGCCGCATACTCTGTTCAAGACAGCATGACAAGCACCGACTCCCTCTGCCCACCGCTGGTGCACTAGCTTCTGGGTCCCGCTCTCCTTGGACGCCTCCGGAGCCGTAGAACACAGCGTCACCTGCGCTTCTTTTCATCTCCCACGCTTTCCGCCTGCGTTTTTTCATCTCTCACGCTGTCTGTCCCTCCATGTTCGTCAACAGAATAACGTACCAATCGACTGCTTCCAGTTCCAGGAACAATTCTTGTTTTCCCAGAGTCTCTCCTGGAAAGTCAGCGGAGTAGGCGGAGAGAGACGGGGGCAGGAGAGGAGAGGACAGGGACGAGGAAGGAGGACTGGATCAGCCTCAGAGCCTGAAGGTTTTCCACTTGTCACTTCAGATCTCCAGAGCCTTCTTTGGCATGGCAGGCCAATCAGCCCAAAAGGCCTTCCCAGGCAGCCTGGGTCCGAGCAGCAGGCGAGAGGGAGGGAACGGCTGTGAGTGAGGGAGGGGGGATCGGACGAGGCTAGGACGAGGATAAATCCGTTCCAGAGCGTTCCGGAACGCTCTCAGAGCGTTCCAGAACGCTCTGAGAAGGCCCCGGCGCCCGAGACATCCTCCAGAGTCGCCCGATCTCAGAGATTCTCCACGCATCCTCACCCGATTTTATCCTCGTCCTGGCGTCGTCGTAAGGGAGTGATGGAGCAGACGGAGGAGCTTCCTCGCGGCGGCAGTGCAAGTGCGACTCCTCGCCGCCTCCCCCTCGGCACGGCTCAGGCGGGCGCGCGCCTGTTGGTGTTCCGTTTTTTGTTCGCTGGCCGGGGAGCGAGAGGCGCCTGGCACGCGAAGCGATGGCACGAGCTGCCCAGAGGCGCGGCTGCAGCTGGTCTCCTCCTCCTCCTCCTCCGATCTCTTCCTCGCTTGCTTCCTCGTGGGCTCGTCAGTCGCGGCACGATGTGGTAGTAGCAGGTGCACTTGCACACCGCCATACGTGTCTGTGAATCTATGTTCTCTTGTTCGGGGGAGGGGCGTCTTGGAACCGTTTTCGGGCTCCTGGGCGATTAAGATTGGGACACCAGAGGCCTTGAACGTGCTTAGCCTTCAGTCTGCGCGTGATGAGCGTCGAGCGACGACCTAGAATATGCAAGGCACAGTTAGGAACAGGCCCCGCGAAACCAGAAGGAACAGGCGCATATCCCCACCTACGGCGGTGAGTTGGCCAGTTAGGCCAGGGCCATGCCAGTGAAGATAGGGATCGATTAAACGATGCTCATCGACTGTGCGCATGAGGATCGTTGAGCGACTATCTGGAAGGCGCGAGCGAGTCACAATGCACGGATGCGCAAGAAGGTCGTCGCGGCAGGCTTTGGGACGTCTCCCGCGCCGACCACCTCGCCGCCGCCAACTCCGCCCGCTGCACGGCATCCCTCCCTCCCTTTCCCCCCCCCTCGCCTCTGCTCCCTGCTCCTTCTCTCCCTCTCTGCCTCCCTTTTCCCCTCCCTCCCCCCTCCTGCTCCTCGCAGGCAGGCGGAAGGTTTGCAAACGGTTTGCGAGCTGGTGGAAGTGAACCAGGCTGAGGACAGACTGCGGGTGGCGCTGGGTGGGCCCTTGGATTGAGACGGGTTGGTCGAGCGGAGGTGCGGAGATTGACACGGCCCTGGAAACGGGAGCTCGCCCGAGCAAAGCTGCCCAACCGACGGCGTAACCACAAGTAAGCAGTGGTGGACGCCCTCCAGAGTGCCGACGGAGAACTGGTACACCGCAGAGGGCAGTGGACGGACCTCGTGGACGGCTGCTCCACCTGGAAGCACCACGACCCGCGGGCGACGCGCCGGCGGCACGACGCTCGCATCAGCAGCTACCTTCAAGTCGGGCCTGTCCCTCTACAGGAGGAATAGTCAAGACTAGTGAACAAATTGTCAGGGGACGATTTTGTTGGACTATTCTTGACCGGCCTGTAGGGGGACAGGCCCGACTTAAAGCTACCTCCGCCGCGCCGCGCAGGAGGAGCGCGCAGGGCTTCGACTGCTACGCACTTGCAGATGGCACCACGCCTTCTGGGCACGGGCTCGGCGGAAGTGCGGCAGCTCTCCTGGAGACGACCAGGTCACGGCAGATGCGATGGCTCTTCCCGCCATGGCAGGCTGCCGCGTGTTCGATTTGTTTCGAAGGAGAGAAAGCGGTATACAGTCGGGGCCCTGAATAAGGAACCCTTCTCGTTGGGGAGGGGCTCCGCGTTCCTAAAGTGTTTCGCAGCTTGCCTCAGGTTGTCCTTAGGTTTTCGATATGAAATCGAAGTTTAACTTATAGAAAATTGGGGCCTCGTTCCTTATTTTGGGTGCCTTAGGTCAAGGCCCCGACTGCCTGACGCGCTCCGCGTGCCAGGGAGGGGGGTCCGGCGCAGATCCAATAAGTCCGCGCGGACCATCGAAAGTTTATGTTTACGCCGTTGTTATTCTCATATTGCTCCGCGCCCGCTACGACGCTGGTGTCGGCCACCCAGTGGGGCCCTGGACTACCAATTACAGGGGCGCCTGCATGCGGAGCGTAATCTACGGCTGGTGCATCAACACGCTGGTGGGAATGCTCGGAGAAGGGGATTTCACCGTGGGCGTATACAGGCAGGTCGCGCTCTTCGGATTTTTGCCGGAGGTCGGCTGCGTTGAGCTTGTCGCCCCACCTCGTGACATGCTGTCCAGAGCGCAGGAACGGCACGAGGAAAGCGCGCTCTCTTGCTTCTCCAGGGACGCCCTGCAGGCGCTTGGCTTCATGCGGGACGACTTGGCGGGAACGGCTCCGAGCAAAATTGCGGGACGACTTGGCGGGAACGGCTCCGAGCAAAATTGGCACGCAGAGTCGCCTGACGGCCGCAATGCTCAGGGAGGTCGACATGCAGTGCCTGCTCCCGTCTCCGGAGGAGCCGCCGAAGGTAGCGTAAACGAGGTGCGCGCAGACGGACGGAACCGGCGGCACTGCGAAGTGGAACGCTGTCGCGCGCCTGGTCTTCGGCGTGGTGCTGCCTCACCGGAGTGAGCTGCGCTGCGTCAGTGCCACCGGCAAGTGGCGCACGCACGCCTGCCACGCGGACAGTTGGTCCTTATACGTCGCCTCGTTCACACAGCGAAAAGTCATGGGGGCCACGCTCACGGGGCCACGTTGTCGTTTGGTCTGTTCTGGAAGCCCTCGTCGCTGTGCGTCCTCACACCTGTCCCAGGCGGCAGAAATTGGCAGCGCCAGATCCCGCAAGCAGAAGATGAGGTCTTCGCGGCGAGGTGGGAGGTGTGCGCTGGCGTCGAAGCTGCGGCTGGCAGCCGAGCGCTGACGGTCCGAGCCGTCGTTGGTACGTGGACAGTCCTGGAGGTGGAGGAGGCGATGGTGCTGGGTGCGTTGTTGAGGCGCCTTGTATCTATCGCCACCGCAGTGCAACACAGGGAGCGACTGGCAGTCAAGACGTTCTATACGATGGGATCGCTCCGATCCCGCGACGTGTCGTTGAAAAGGAGGCTGGCGCGCTACTCGGAGACGGTGCCGGCAACGTTGCTGTCCCTCCGCGAGAGTTGGGTGTTCGCAAACTCGCTGGTGCTACGCCTCAAGTGCATGGAAGGTGGCATGCGTCGCAAGATGGCCAGCGTCCGCAAGAAGCCAGGGCAACCCGTGGCGCGGTACATGCGCCGAGCCACAGACTCGGCGCCAGCAGTAGCTGGAGCCCGGACACGAGTGCGTCGAGGTACGATTGCCCAGGGACCCAGCGGGTCAGCGAGGTCCAACAGGGGGGGCTCGAGAGAAGCTAGTCCCGCGTGCCGTGGAACCGTATCGAGCAGAGACCAGTGTGGCGGCACCGCGCCGGGTGGAGGCGAGTGGCCACCCACGAGGGGTGCTTCATCCGCTGACTTGGCAGAGCATGGCGCCAAGACGCGCAGAGCGTGGCGCGGCACTCCGAGCGGGACTTCGTCTCCGTTGTCCTGGAGCGCCAGGGAGGGGGGGGCCCGAAGGCCTGGCTGCTCCGCGCCGCCGACAGCACAGGGCCCTGGGCGCAGCCGCCGCCCCGACCGCCACGCACTGCGCGGTTCGCAGAGCCCCCGCAGTGGACCAGGCAGCGCCCAGCGGCAGCATTCGTGACCACTCAATGAGATGCAGCGGGGGCGCGCATCAAGAAGCCATATGCATTTCGTCAGGGTGTCCTGGGTTTCTTTGCTCCTCGCGCTGCGCGGCGACTTCACGCGGCCGTTGAAGGAGCTGCTGCGTTCAGGGTGCTCCAGGTTTCCCATCCGGTGCACCTCGCGCGCGGGTTCTCAGGGTTGGGTTTCTTGCGAGGGTTTCTTGCGGCCGCGCCCGCACCGTAAGGTGGGTTGGCGTCTAGTCGACCCGCGGCGGCCCCGCCGCGGAAGTTCAAGGTTGAACGCCGCCAGTGGCCCAGCATCGGCCTACATGGAACGATCGGGCGATCGGAAAACCGCCGATCGTTCAAGGTTGAACGATCTACGCGGTGTCAGAAACCAACGCTGGGGTCGGCACGATGCGAACGTGCCGTACTCAGATCGTGGTCAATGGGGTGGAAGGCCGCGCACGCTGCCGGAACAGGACGCTACTGCCGATGCTGCGAGAGAGCCAGTAGGCCTTGTGGCAGACGCCGTCGCGGGGGTCGCGGCCGCCGCAGGTCGGCGATTGATTGGTGCGCCACGAGCACTGGGAGCACAAGCAATCCGCAGATGCACTGGTGATATATATATATATATATATATAGTGTATGTGACATGCGTATGTGCGCCACTCGCTGCCGTTGAACCCTCAAGGTGCCTTTTTAGGCACAAGAAACATCATGCATCACAGCTGGTCTCGCGTGCGGTGGCAGAGCGCCGCTCCTTGCGCACGGGAACGGCGCAGGCCATGCTGTGGCAGGCGTCCTGGTCGTGACGTCTTTCTGCTGACTTCTCCTGCCGCCAGCATCGCAGAACGGATTTCGTTTGGAAAACAATCGGATGGGCCTGGAGTGTCTTCGAGAATTTCGTTTCGGATTTAGAAATGAATTTCGTGCGGATTTTTTTGGGCCAGGAATGAAGACTAAAATAAATCCACGTGAAATTCACTTCGTTTTCGCTCGCCATTTCGGGGTCTTGCATTGACAGAAATCCACCCGAAAATCCGCTGCAGTACGTTTGCAAGGTCGGTGCAGTGAGATTTTGACGGCCGCCGCAATAGCGCGCATGCTGGCTGTAACCGGGTCGTCTGGATCCAGGTGCCGGACAGACAGCGGGTCCCCGTGCAAGGCTTCAGCTGCTTGGGGGAGAGTCCCGGAGGGGGAGTTGCATAGGTGCCGGTTGGTTCTAGGCGAACTACGCAGGTTGTTGCAATGCCGCCTGTGGGCATAAGTTTGGGACGTATGTGGCGGATGACCCCGTCGCCGTTTCGGGCACGGCGGACAGTTACAAACGATCCACCTAAACGAGGGTTGCGCCGCCGTCATCAATTCCAGTATGTGCATCGTCAGTGTCAAGATTTGCGTGTTCCTAGATTTAGCGTGTTCAGTCACTAATAACAAATATTCCTTCGTACATCCATCTACTCCACCCTTGTCACATTCTCGTCCATTTCGTTGTCTTTTTGGGGGGATTGGTGTGCTCTGAGCGCCCTGCGCGGTTGCCGCGCAGACCCGGCTTCCACTCCACTCCAGTCCAGTCCATTCTTGTTCACTCCTCCTCTCCTCCTTCGCCTCCTCCCTGCTGTCCTCCTTCCTCTTCCTCCCTCTCCACTCCTCCTTCCTCCACTCTTCACGTTCCCTTCCCCCTCCACTCTTCACGTTCCCTTCCCCCTCCCCCGCTCCTCCGTTCCCTCCCTCCTGCCTCCTTCCCCACCTCTTCGCTCCATTTCATCTTCCTCCCTCGTCCTTCGCTCCCGCCCTCCTCGCTCCCTCCCTCCCTCCTCTCCCCCCCTTCCCTCGTGACGACACTCTGCCTCTCCCCTTCTCCCTCATCCCCCGTGCTTCTCTCCTCCGTCCCCCTCGGCTCCTCCCCTCCTCCTTTCTCCATCCCCCCCTTCTCCTCTCCCCTCAGTTCTCCCCTCCTGCTCTCCTCCTATCCCCCCCTGAGATCCGCAGCCCTCGCCGCAGTTTTACCCCCCCCCCCTGCAGGTTCGCCGATAGGCGTCGTGATATCAGTGTTCTGGGAATAACACCTCTGTCGTCCTTCTCTGAGGTAGTGGTCCGTGGATCTCTCTGTCCTTATCCTGTCACAGCGCCAGTGCAGGGCCCAGTCCAGCTGTCTCTGCCACTCGCCAGCAAAGTCTCGCACAGCTCTGTCCAGAGAGCAAGCCCAAGGATGAGTCCCAGGGAAACTTCTCCCCGAATATTCTGATATTCGTTATCTGTGTCCTGGCTAGCTCTCTGGAACTAGCGAGTATATATCTCACCGCCCAAAAGCGGCTCAAGGGGCCCCTGAGCCAGAACGGTTGCGGATAGCTGCAATGTGAAACGCGTTTCAATTGAAACTCGACAGGGGGAACACCGTTGCATTCACACACACACACACACACACACACCGCCGGGGGCCGAGGCTAGGCGGGGCTCGGGCAGGCCTCCCCCCGGGCCTCTGCCGGGCCCGCTCGCCCGACCCTGGGGCGGCGAGCCGCGGGGCCTGCCGCTCGCTGGGCCGTGAGCCCCAAGCGGCGGCAGGTGGAGGAGGAGGAGGAGGAGGAGGAGGAGGAGGAGGAGGGGGAGGGGGATTCGTTCCACGCGACAGAATAGACGG